TCGCGGACACAGGATCCGCTAGCCTTCGCCCCAGCAGCGGCTTGCCGCCGTCTGCCGGTTGTTTAAACAAGTGTGATCGCGTTGAAGATTTTCCCTTCGCTCATTCTCCCCTTGCCTTTTCTTCTGTACTTGGTGCAGGCACCTTGAAGAGCGGCGATTGGTTCACCACGCTCGCGTGTCACGCTTAGGCGCTAGGATTGGTTGCCGTTGCGGCCGAAGTTGCCGTTGATGCATCCGTGAGGCCTCAGTTGACCGGTTAGTTGGTCCTTTTGTCGGTGGAGGACGTTGACAATACACAACATGCTGCCCCATAGTTGCAACATGCTGGCCTGTACAGCGACAATGTAACGCCGTCGATGGTGAGGCGACAGGGGCTCTTTGCTGGTCGGCCAGTGTTGCAACACTTGATAATCGCCGATTGGTTAGCGTCACAACACTGGGCCACCGCCGAGGGACCCAAGCGACGACAGCAGACCGTTGCCGAGGGACCCACGCGGCGAAAGCAGACCGCTGCCGAGGGACCCACGCGGCGACAGCAGACCTCTGCTGACCATCACTAGCATGCCAATGAGCCAGGTGGGCGATATTTCCGGCGCCATGTACGGCCAGTGGACGGGCACGGGGTGCGGCTGATGTCTGACCTTGCCGCTGCACACCGTGCACGGGCGGCGAGGACCTGGACCGGCCCGCCAGCTCGCCAGCCGGAGCGCACTCCAACGAACAAGCGTCCACTGTTGGTCACCGCGGCTACTTTCACCTAAACCTACTCCGTCACCACGCGTGATCGGCAGGTTTTCGTGATATCACAGTCGCCACTATTTGCTGTCTCATTGGGATATGAAAATATCCACGTGCCTCGTTTGTCGGGCACCTCCAGGACGGAGATGGTCGTGACTCGCGACGCCTGGTGCCATACTAACGCGCCTCGATCCGACTCGCCGGGTATTTGCTTGAATAATAGTGATTGCTACAGGAATGCTCTAATTTGAGGTAATTTGAGGTGTAATGACGACGGTGGTCGGCGGACAGAGCCGACTGCGGCGGCTCGGCCCGACCGCGACGTGCCTGATCGTGTCCGCCGTGAGCACCCGCACCCGGCCAGCACCCGGCTCGGGCGTGGCGTCAAGCCGGGTGTCCGCCTCCGCCTCCTCCCCACCGGCCGGCGGACGCCCGGCTCGGCGGCGATCGGGGCGCAGCAGCCGGTCCAGGCCGGCGGCCAGCGTTCGCGTCAGGGGTCTACCGTCGCCCGGCGCGAGAGTCAGCGGCCCGCCCTCGGCCTGGCGTCGTCGCTGGGCTCCGTCGCCGCCGCCTGGTGGCGAATGCGGGGTCCCGTGAGTCAACAGGCGGCCGTTAGCCGGCCCGGAGGCGTCTCTGGCCGGTAGCCGTGCCGTTCTGTCACGGCTGGCGGCCTCCTGTAGCCGACCCGACAGCTGGTGAACGACTCCAATCTGAGAGCGGCGTCGAGCCGCGGTCGCTCGCCGCTCCTCAATGGCTCGCGCCGTACGCGTCAATAGCGTGAAGAGCTACCGGGATACACGGCGGCAGCGGCAGCACAGTGCGGCCAAAGCGGCGCTCCCGGAGCGCACCGCCGAGGCTGAAGCGGCTCTGCGCAGTCTTCGAACACTGTTGATGTCTAGGCATTGTCACGTCGTCTTACGACTGGTTACGCTGGAGACCAGCTCATGCGGTGAGCGACCTTTGACGCCGGGCGTGTCCTGAGAAAGAAGCAAGTTTGGGCTGCATCGCTTCGTCGTTTTACGTCGTCAACGACGGCGTTTGAGACAGCCATTTCCTAAGCGGACATGCTTTCGACAGATTTGCTCCAGACGTAAGAGTTCCAAACGAACATGCTCCAGACAGACGTGCTCCAGACAGACGTGTTCCAGACTGAGGTCCTCCAGACGGACGTGCTACCCGGGCTGTGCTAGGGGTCCGTTCTGTTCAGCTGACTGCCCGGCCGTGCTGTCCTCGTCCGGCTGTTTAGGGGTCCGTTCTGTTCAGCTGACTGCCCGGCCGTGCTGTCCTCGTCCGGCTGTTTTGTCCTCGCGGGGATAACTGCTCGCAATTATGGCCGTAACTGCCGGGTTTTGTCTGCGGCGAACAAAAACCCAGACCTCGGGCGTCGACCCGGCCGCCTCGCGATTTGCCACAGTTATCACTAATCACTAATAATCACCGACAATAATATGGCGATCACTAATCATGACGGTTGCAAATTGCGGGCTTGTCGGCTGACCCGGGAAGGCTCGTTGCCGACGCGGGAAGGCCGGCTGCCAACATTAGGAGATCCAGCACCAACATGGGGAGGTCCGATGACAACATGACAAGGCTCCATGCACACATGGAAGACCTGATATCAGCATGGAAGGTTCCATGGGGGTGCCGGTGGAATCTGATGAGAACGCGGCGAGCCTCGATGTCGATGCTTGAAGTCAAAGCCGAGTCATCCCTGACGACTTTTGGCACAGCCCCCGGACGCTGTACTCTGAGTGCGTGCGCCGCGGCCGCATGTGACCGGGCGGCGCAGCAGCGGCAGCGGGCCGCGCGCCGGCCGGCCGCGCGGCCCGCCCGCTCGTAAATCGCGTCGTCTCTCGCCGCCGGTGGTCGCCACCGTCGGCGTTCGTCGGTGCGGCTTCGTCTTTCTCGTTTTTCACATTAATATTGCACAAAAAGCGGCTGCGCTCTGCCCGTTGTTTTATGGCGGCCGCCCGGGTAAATCGGGCCGGGCACGCAGAGCACCGCGGTCTGGTGACGTCAAGGGCCGTGACGCGTGACGTCATGGCAGGCCCGAGTGTGGATCTCACGCACAGGATACAGTGACACCGCGGAAGACGCGGCAGCCATCTAATGCTGGAAGGCGAAGACGTGGTCGTGCTCACGCTGGCTGCAGCCAAAAAATTGGTTGCTTTTTATGTACTCACGCGTGACAAGTTTGTTGCTCATTTGGCGCGTTTGCTGCGGTGCCTACATTAAAACATCACCGAGAAAAGAACTTCTAGATGTGAGGCCGACAGCATTTGTTTGCACTTTGGCAGCTGCGTCTTGCAGTGGGATCTCGCTGTCTGGCCCTCGGACAGGACACACACCAGGTCATTTGTTCACAGGTCCGGGTCAAGCCAGCGCCCGGCCTTTTTCTGGCAAATTAAACGGACCATTTGTCAGAACGCTCATTTCGCCGTCGGCGTGATGTATTGGTCGCGTTTGGTTTGTACGTTGTCACCTTTGTTAGCGGCCAGGGAGGTCCGTCGAATGCGTGTCGCCTTCGCCGGCCGATGCGGCGGCGCCATTAATCTGGCGCGCCGCGCCGCGCTCTCTCGCTGCTCCCGGGCGGCGACGGTGGCGCCACCTGCGAGGCGCCGCTCCCACCCGGTCGGCCCGGGCCGGCCGCGACGGCCGCCTCCGGACCCGTTAATGCGACAGGGAATTCGGGCCCGCTTGCTCGGTCGGTAATCCCGTCGTTAGAGGCGTAGATGGCGCGCCTGCGACGGTCGCTGCGCGGCTGTTGTGCGCCCAGCCCGACCCGGCGCAGCGCTCGGCTTCCGGCCGTTAAGCCCTCGCGCCGCTATAGTTCTATGAGCTCGGAAATCTATAGTTGTAGGGCTTCGGTCCGCAAGTTCTTCGCCGATCACGCCGGCCACATGTCCACCAAGTTCCAGCGGCCGGTAATCCTATTAGGTGCTCCTCCTGTAGCCTCCAATCATGTTAATTACTTTCATTCTTGTCAGGTAAGGCCGCTAATGCGCTTCCGTCTCCAATTGTGGCGCATTGGGAGGCGCCGCGCTCGCCGGCGGTGCCCGGTGCTGGCGCGGGGTCCGTCAGGGGCGGCGGATACGAGCACGCCACCGCACCGCACCAAGTAGCCAGCCAGCTCACCCGACCAGTCAGCGCCGTTGGCACGGCCGTCTGCCTCCGAGCACGTACCGAACAGGATATGAGTCATTAGGCGTAATTTCGCCCGTTGCCGGCACGTACGGAAAATCGTCTCGTTTGTTAGCCGGCCTGCATGCATTTGCAATTGAGCTCGGCCATTAATGCTGTCCGTGCGGGATGGACGTGTTGAAGCCTTTTGTTCGGCAGCCGGCGCGCCATAAACACATCATCGCCGGCTGCAAAAACGCGCGCGCCCCGGCTGCCGCGCCGGGAGTGCCGAGGGCGACGGCCAACGACGTCGGTTTGCCGGCGTTTCCGGCGCGCGCGCGCGACCGACTAACATGGACCGCCTGCATGCGATGCTGCTTGTCTCGTGACCAACGCAGTCGGCGCCGCCCCCAAAAAAGCAACAACAAAACAACAACACACGTCGTATTGATCATGAGGCCCGTGAGGTTTCTTGGTGGGGTTGAGATGTTTGCATGCTTTTCATGACGGATGTTAATGTGAACGTCAGCGGTGGCTGAGCAAGAATACCGAGGATAGAAGCAATGGAAGATGAACGTCATCCCCGTAACAAATGAGCTGACAGAGCTAGAGAAAGTTTGAGGTCTCGGCTGCTGCTGATATGGAATTAACCTGTTTTGAATTGTTGCTGGTTCTGGAGAAAACCTGACACCGTCTCTTGCAGACTGCCACGCGGCACGCTTGAGAATATGATCAATGACATGGTGGCAGTCCTGAAAATATACTTGCCATCCACTGACCTTCAGTCTCTCGACGCTTCGGCGCCGGACAACTGTCATCCACCGTCTCCGCCTGTCTGTATACGTCACAACATGTCGCTGAAATCGGATGTGAAACTGGCCTGCTGGCTGTCTTTTGTCACGTGTCCGTCTGCTGACTGTCTTGTGTACGTGCGTGGTCTGTTTTGTCAGTCGAACGTGTCACTGTTACCCGTGACCTGTGTTGCCGTTACCTGTGATTGCCATCATCGTTTCCCCTGAACCATGTCATTGTTACCCATCACTCGTGTGATCGTCACGGAGTTGACCTGTGGACTCGTCACCCGTGACTGGCGTGACCCCGCCCGTGACCCCGCGACCTGACCCCTGCGCCTCCGGTTGCAGAGGGCTCCGACGGCGGCGACGGCGCCTTCGGCACGCCGCTACGCCTGCTGCAGATTCCGGCGCACGCGCTGGCTGAGCTGCGGCAGGCGTTGCAGGCCGACGGCCCCTCTGAAGCGCGCTTCACTCAGGACGGCTGCTCGGCGGCCGGCCTGCGCGGCGTCGCCGAGGTAGACGGCGAGAGCGGCGCCGTCTGCAAGCAGTGTCACCTGGTGTTCCCGACCGTGCGGCAGCTGGAGCGGCACCCGTGCTGCCAGTCGGGCGGCGCGCCGGCGCGCCTGCTGCTCACGCAGCGCCAGTACCAGTGTCTGGTCTGCCTGCAGCGGCTGGCCACGCGCGCCGAGGCCGTCGGCCACATCGCCCGGCTGCACGGCGGCGGCCCGACGGCGGCGCGCGCCGACGTCGCTGACAAGATCGCCTCGTTGGCGCAGAGCAAGACGCTGGCTGGGCTCGGCGGCACCGACACCAACGGCAACTTCCACCACGCGGCCGCCGGCGCCGTGCGGGGCGAGCAATAACCGGGCGCGCGCCGCCGCCGCGCGCACGCAATAACGCCTCCCCGCGCCGACGCCGACGCGACGCCGCCGTCACGTGCGGCCACGACGCGCACGCACACGTCCCCGGCCTGCACACACAATCACCATTCGCTCACAGGCGCCGGGCGGGGGAGGCAGCGCACTAGACAAACCGAAGCGCGCCCAGACGTGTGCAGCGAACTCTACGTAGGTACATGTTTCTCCGATATAGTTAATCGCTTCCAGATGGCCGGCGCCGGGAAGCATCCCCGTACTGTACAGTCGTCCCGCAGGAGGCGTGTGACAAAGTACAACACGCTCGCACTATGGTTCCTAATGCTGCGCTGCTGACGTTGGTGTGCTACCCGTTCTGTTTGGCGGTCGTCCGGCCGGCCTGGCCGCCCGGTAGCCGCCAGCCGCCCGCCGCCCGTTCTTGTGGTGTTATTATCGTTGTGATATTGTGCAGCGCGTGTGTGTGTGTCTCCAATGCCATATAATGGTAACCAGGAGGGCGTGGCACGTCCGCGCCCCCCACAGCTAATGTTCCTAACATTATATATATACATATACTAACAATACTAAGATGTTCCTGTACTTTTATACTGGATGAGAGGGTTCTTATAACACATGCAGGGGCCGGCGTAGGGACAATTTCATGGTATCGCGAAATCAGTGAAGAAAGTTCCTGTTTTTTGGTGCCTTTGTAATCCTCGCATTTGTCCGCGTGTTCGCGGCTCCGTCTGTTACAACTGTAGCTACTGCACAGGTTTTGGGGGAATGCACGGTACATAGTCCCTAATGCTACCGCCATGTTTCCTATAACGGTTCCTGTTGACTAACTCAAGTTCCTAACACGAGCACCTTCACGGCGCCGACCAGCCTGCTGCTTCTCAACTAACCGGGCCTCGCATCAAGTGCCATTGTTTTCCAGTGACGTCATCGGCACTGTTCGTGACGTCATGCATGTCTGTGTGCTGCAAACCACTAACACTCGAGCCGCAAGCCGCGATAGCTGCACGCTGTGCCGGGCCGAAGTGCGCGCGCTGCCAGGGTGCCAAACGGACCAAACCAGCCACGTGTGGACCATAGCCGCTCTGTTTAGTCCAAATCAGCCGAGGCGGCCGGACGAGTGGACGCTTGTGGAGCTTCACGCGTTCAAATGTACACTCGCGCGTCCCACATCCGGCGCCGCCCTTACTGGCCACTTGCGTAGGATGTATGTTTGACGAAAAATCCATTCCAGCGGATCCAGTTGTGATTTGTGTTGGCTTCGAGTGTGATTTAGACCGATGTATCATTGCCGCTAGTTTTGCATAGGTAGCGACGCGCGCGTGTCGTTTCAAATCTTGCAGTGTTGGGTTTATATATTTATTTTGTTGAAGGCTGCACACGGCATTATTGACAATGTGATAACCGCGGTGGTTCCGACAATATGCTGAGCGATGTGCTGACCACAGCGCGGGCGGGGGAGGCGGCGGGTGTGCCGCAGTGCAGGCGCGAGAAAATGCCCGAGGCTGATGCGAGGTCGTGTGACCTCCAGCGGTCACACGACCTCGAGAGGTCACATAAAATTGTCTCTACCTCGCGCCTGCCCCAAGTTCCTATTATCATGATAAGAACCCAGTGTAGTGTGGAGTGACAGGTGGCGGCCGCTCAAGCTGGACTGGGTCACGTCGGATTGAACTGAGTCAGGTCAAACCGAGCCGGGTCTTGCCACACCGGACCCGGTCTGGTCAGACTGCGCTCTCTTCCATCAGAAAAACGCGGTCCGTTCAGGCTGGACCATTTTGATTCAGACTGGTCTTGGTCCGACCGTACACTCCGGCCAGACCGGGACCATGTCACGTGGTCAGGTCCGGTCATACTGGTCCTGGATCTATCAGACTGATCCCGGTCCGTTCAGACCGGTCCCGGTCCGGTCAGACTGGTCCCGGTCCGGTCAGACTGGTCCCTGTCCGGTCAGACTGCCCGCCGCCCGCCGCTCCGCCGCACCGTTATCGTCCGAGTCTGACGATCAGTCTGTGCGCCGACGCCGACGCCGCGCTGCCGTCTGGCGCCGGCACGCTCGCCGTGCGCGCGCGCGCGCGCGAGCGTATATTTTCTGGTATGGTTCGAATTTGTTTTCGTACTAAGTGAGTGGACGCATGAATGCTTATGTCGGATAATAAACATTCACCTGTAGTGTGTGGTTTGAAAAACGAGCGCCGCGTTTGAAAGCGGCGTAATGATCCGAACCATTGGCCGGCCAGGCGAGGCGGCTAACGAGGCTGTGGTGCCGCTCGTTCCTGGTCATTGGTCCTGTCGCGCCTCCTGAAGCTGACAAACGTCCCACACGCAGAACTGCCGCTAGCCCTGATGACCGGCTGTGGGCGCAGTGCTGCAGCCCATCTCCAGGCGTGACGGGTCTGGACAGAGTACACCTGGCACGATCCGACACATCACACAGGCTGTGGTTTGGAAGCCGCGTGTCGCGTGCACATGCTGTAGGAAGTCTCGGGCGGATCCGTTTCACCGAAAAGGGTTTCTCCGGAACGTACCACCAGCGAACGGAACACCGACGAGCAGGGAAAAACGACCGTTTGTGGTCAGCGCTACTAGCAGGAGGGTTATTCGGTGTATGCCCGCCTCGAGACGCTCCGTGTGTCGCGGCAGTATCGTCAGGCAGAGCAAGCTGCTGGTCGGCACGCCGTCTCGGAGCACGCGTCGCATCACTCACATCACACAAACACCGAGCCACCAACCGCTGCGTGTTGCCTACCCACCATATCCCAGTCGCATAGAGTGACGCACTTTGTGACACGCAACTCATACTGCGGCGCTTGTGTACCAGTGCAGGCGCCACGGAGTGGTACACGGTACACCACTTACCACACTCCACTCAGCTCCCACTCTCATCAGTCAGCCGCACAGGTCTTGCGCCGCTGATTGGTACTCATCACGTCACTGCTGAGCGTAAGACCTATCCCTACTTCCGTGGTGGTAAATCGAGTCGTCGTTTGCTGTGTTTGCTATTTGCTTCCGCCAGTCGGCGACGTTTGGCGACAGGGTTGTAGAGCGGCGCAGCGGCAGACGCTCACAGACAAGCACTCATGCAGGTAGTCACGTGCTCCTGCACGCACTCGCACAATTACGCAGCACTCGGACTAACGTTCCGTGGAATCAGTTCTAACGACGGCGCCGGAGACGTTCACGAACCGGCACCTTATCAAATACCGACCAGCCTGGACGCGCCACATATTGACCTTTTGACCTGTGATCAAATACAGCCTGAGCAGGCATCGTAACTACCATCACATGCGCTCGCCGAGCAACGGACGCCTACAGCGAATCGAATGTGATGAGCTTTCCGAACGCGATGAAAATCTCGAGGCACAGGTAAATAGCCGGCCGCTGAGAATGATACAAGGATTATGTCCGGCAAGTGGAGCGGGATGTGGCCGGTGCGGCCTAATTGCGCCAGATCTAGGCCGGCTGCTAGGCTTTCCCGTGCGAGACAGAAATTGGTGATGAAACAAAAGAACCAACGACCGAAGCGTAATTAGGAGGACGTGCGAGAGAAGAAAAAGGTACGGTAAATGGCCGACACGGCGTGCGCTGACATAGCTGTCTGTCCGGCGGAAAATCTCGCTCCGTAAATCTCCCGAGCGCGCCACATCCCGCGCGCGGCGCTGTTTTGTCTAAGCGGTAACGAGCACCCGAGCTTGTGATTATCTCTATGTACCTGTCACGGGAAGGAAACCAGGTGTTTTCAGAGTTCTGCGACCGAGGGAGCGTAGGCTTCCTTTCATAGTAGTGGTTGCCGTGCAGCCTTCGTGTTATTAGCGCCCAAGTGGAAACCCTGGGCTGAACCAACACCGAGCCTAGGGTTGAGTACAGATTATGAACCGCTGGAGGCGATAACAGGATTGGTTGGCGAACGATGTTCGTGGAAACAGACGCGTTCTCCGCCCTTGCTAGTTGCAATTAATTTTTGAATCACGTCATTTTCTGAAACACACGTGCCCTGGAAAACGTCATATATATATATATATATATATATATATATATATATATATATATATATATATATATATATATATATATATATATATATATACATATATGCATCATGGTTCGACACCGCGATAACATGCCTTCAAAAGCCATCCGTATTGATTAGTGCCTATTAACAAGTGACAAATTATAAGCATATGTCATTACATTATAACATTATTATACACTACTAATATCAATACCTAAACAAAAAGTAGTAAATTGACTGGTGATTGAGTGCTAGTGCGAATATTTTGCCGCTCGGCAAAATTGTGTTACTAAAGCGAGCGACCTGCTTTCGTCAACGCGATGATCAGGCAAAGTCGCCGCCTTCCGGCCGCCACTCTCGCATCCCCCCTCCCCTCCCCTCTCTTTCTCGGACACGCGTCCAGCGGCCGAGCCCGGCAGCAGCTCTCCTTTCTGCGAAGAGCGGCCACGTCTCGGCGGCTCGGGCAGCCGGGCTCACGCGCCAATCATGCATGCAACATCTCGCGCGGCCACGGCGCCACTCGATGGCCGATCGACCGGCGCCGAAAACAGGCCCGCTCTGCCGCCTAATGCCTTGTTTTTCTCGGCCGACTCGCGCCGCCCGGCCATGTTCGACACTGCCAAGTTCGTCGCCTGATAGGGTGGCGCGCTCGGCCGAGCTAATTTCATGATGAGACGCCATCTTCCGTCTCGGTCGTCATGGCGACGGCCCCAGCCCGCGAATAACCTCTAATATTGTCAACTGTTTTGGTAGGAAGATTTTTCATTTGGAGCCGAGCGTCGGCGGCCGGCGCGTCGCCGAGCCGACGGCGGCGCTTATTAACGAAAGTGGGCATTTCTGAACGGCGCGTCTGTCACGTATGACACCAAATGAGACAGGAGGTACATTAAAAACGGGCGTGCGGAAGCGAACCAGGCCTCATCGCCCGAGCCCTCGGGCGGCGGACCGGGGTTCCACACTGGACACCGGACCTCCGAACCGGGCTCCGACACCGGACCTCCGGACCGGGCTCCGACACCGGGCCTCCGAACCGGGCTCCGACACCGGATCTCCGAACCGGGCTCCGACACCGGACCTCCGGACCGGGCTCCAACACCGGATCTCCGGACCGGGCTCCGACACCGGACCTCCGAACCGGGCTCCGACACCGGACCTCCGAGCCGGGCTCCGACACCGGATCTCCGAACCGGGCTCCGACACCGGACCTCCGGACCGGGCTCCGACACCGGGCCTCCGAACCGGGCTCCGACACCGGACCTCTGGACCGGGCTCCGACACCGGCCGAGCTGTGCTGGGCCGGCCGCTGGGACCCGGCAGCTCCGGACTGCCGGCTCATCGACCAGCGGCCAGCGGCACGGACCGGATCAGACATCACCAACTGCGTAAAAATAGTCACTTGGGAGCGTAAGCGTGCTATTCAACGTTAACGTTAACATTAACGTTAGCTGTAAACTATCCGTTGATGGCTGGTGTTTTTATTCTGATCAGCTCTGACTAAATCACTGCACTTAACGAGTTAAGTATGACTGAAGGTAATTTAAAAGTGGGAAATGTCTGGCCATACGAAGCTTTAAGCGTCGCGAGAAAACAAGCTAGCAAATGGCTATTTGTAAATTTTGGTGCGCAGAAGGGCTACCAATTTCAGTGGTGCGTTACCCCCTACCTGATGCGTGCATGAGTGCATTGGACAACAGTCAGATAATGTGGGGTTATATCTTAACATAAAACCGTAAAGATCTTTTCTGACATTGGAATCCGAGTCCGTCTCGATAGCTCAGTTCGTCAACGCGCATGTGTTCCGATCCATCCACCCGAGGCGGAGTGGGTTCGTTTCTCTTTAATCGTTCGCTTTTTGTGCTAGACAGGTGTGGCCTGCGGCGGTGGCAGCGGCCGCGATCAGGTGACATCAGAGGACGGGACAGACCGTGCCGAGCATTTCTGCACGTTAAACTTTCGAAATCAAATCCTACCGTTCACCTGAAATTCCACCATTGATTGGTCGGACTCATGGCTCACACAACATGCACTGCTTAACATGACCTCTGATCCCCAAAATCCAGCCTTTCAGTAGATTTTGCTTAAATTTGTTTAAAAAAATGTGTTTGCACAATACTACACGTTATATGCGGTGGCACGTTGTGGGATGTTCTGCGGAGCAGTCTACCCACGCTTGAGGGGGAGCTGGCAGGAGACCCAACCGGGCTAAAGGGACGACCACACCTAATAAGGCAATCCCAGGTACCTTCATTATGGCGCCAATCTTTGGAAAGCCACCATGCCATTCGAAGCATACGATGGCATTATCACTTACTGTAAGGTGACTCTGGATCGGGTTGATTATCTTCAAAAGTCAAAAGGGCCTGTGACAGCTCCCAGGGGATGCATGGTTTCAGCCTAACGAGGCGATCGCATTCAAGCGCTCGTGTTTTAATGAACCATTAACCCCTTTTGCACTTCCATTTAGTACCATTGGGTTAGGCAAAAACTACAAGACCTGCTCGAAGCACCGGTTACCTATCGGGACAGGCAATACAGTCTAGCGGGCACATGACACTGTGCGACATGAAACCCGCGCCGTTCAAATCCCCATTGTCGATTTCTCTGCGCTACGGAACTCAGACATTTCGTTTACTTTCGTTTCATTTCATTTAGTTTCATTCTGCGCAAAGGTGGCTTACGAACCGCCAGAGGCGGCGTCAGGGCGGCACGCAGTCGAGCATTGAGGTTGTGATTGATGACATCATGTTCCACGGCGCAAATATGCTCATAGTTTAAGCATAGGTCTTGAAAATATCAAGATTTTGAGCACGGACAGCACGACAACAAACATAAACAATGGTATTTTCCAGCATTTGACACAGGTGAGAGCAAATTTGTCCACAGTTGGGGTTCGGGGGAGGGGTGGGGTGGGTTGAGTGGGGGATAGGACAAACTGACGGTCGTAAGGGGCAAGACCGTTGGTTAGGCCAGTAAACGCAATTGGATCGTCGCTGTTGTCAGGGGAACACAAAACTCCACTGGCCAGTCAGTGATTCATTCTTCTGGTCCACTGGTCGGTGGTCAATGGTCACAGGCCAAGGAACGTCTCAGGAAGTGGGGGTGCCGAAGCCAATTCGGGAGTTGATTCTTTCCATGCGTTGTCA